ACGAGTGTGCGGAGGCTGAAGCGCCTCCACCAGGAACTGGAGCGGCTCATCAGCTGCATATTGAGCCGACCCCGCGACACCACCCGCCGCCACGAACTCCACCCCTGCAACAGGCGGAAGAGGCGGTAGCCGCAGACGGGAACCAGGAACGGGCGCCGAGGCGGGAGAGACGAGCAGACGGGGCGAGGACGGAAGGGAAGGACGGCAGCTACAGGCGGAGGGGGCTACAGGAGGCTCAATGGGACGGGGAGCCTCAAGTGCTGGCGCGGCCCGCAGGGAACTGCTTTTGACTCTGCGGCCGCCCGCTCCTTGCGCACAGCCCGCGACACCTCCCTCTGGAGATCCGCCATCGTCACAGGCGGACGATACCTCCCCGCCACCACCTCGGACCGTACGGGGCCTCTCCAGCCCCCATTGCCACCAGGGGGGCCAGGCCACTGTGCCTGCTGCTGGTAGCGCTGGGGAGAATTGCGCCGGCGCCGCGACGTCTCGCGCTCCTGTTGGGGCGCAGGAGAATGGGGGCGGGATTGGCGGCGGTCCGGCGACGGGGGGCGAGACGACTGCACCCCAGGGGCCGCCGGCGGCTGAGCGGGAGCTACCGGGTCGGCGCCAGGAGGAGCATCCATCGGAGCAGGGTCGTCAGTGGTGGCGGACGCCGCCTTTGGGGAAGAAGCAGACACAGGCACAGGCACGCCGGGGACCGAAGCAGACGGCACAACGAGTGCGGCGAACAACGGGACTGGAGCGAGCAGCTGCTTCCCCAGCAGGCGCGGACACCACCGGTGGAACCGCAGGAGCCAGGTGCGCTGGAGCAGGAGCAGCAGACGAGACAGGCGGAGCCTCAGCAGGAGCAGACGGGCCAGCCGCCCCCCCCCCCCCCTGGGAGCCACGGGTGCGGGGGGATGAATCTTTCAGCGTCTGCTAACGAGGGCTTCTGAGCCGGCGGTAGAGGGAGGTTTCAAGGCAGTGGTCGCCCTTTCGGGCTCCGACTGAGGCCTGGCGACGACAGCCGACCAGGCGGCAGCGAGCTCTGGCGACGGCTCGTCAGCACCAGGAATCACCATCTCAAGCGCGGGGAAGTCGAGGGACGGAACGGCAAACGGCAAGCGGGGTTGGCGGAGGCCCGGAGAATGGTTACCAGGCAGCGGCTAGAGTGGCTTTAACCAATTTGACTACAGCGAATGATGAAGACGAGCGGCAGGATCCCTCTTATATAGAAGAGGCAGCACCAGCTAGCGAGGGCGAAGAGACGGAGGAAGAGGAAGGCAGGGCGAGAAGGAACACTGGCGGATTGACTGTAGTGGGGGAGCAAGCACGCTTGGACACGCCCCAGGAGACACGCCCACCGCTCGATGCAGAACGGACGGAGGGGATTCCAACCTCCGCTCCCAGGGCACGAGGGAATCGCCCAAGAGGAAATCGGCCAACAGACATTGGGACTGCAACACGCCCAGCCGCTTCGGTCCCCCGCTATTTTTCGCCAGACGACCTCGCGAAGCGGGCAGACCTGTTTGCTGCAATCAGTACTTGGGATATCACGGTCCTGTGCGACAGTCGCCAGCCTTCACTGTCGGGGCGCTTACCGCCGAATTTGTGTCAGCTGTTCTCACTGGCGATGCTGACGCCGTTACTACACCTCTCACGAAACCCCGAGTCAGAGGCAGGATGGCGCCTGCTGCTATTTCTCCCGCGCCTAACCCTTCGCCAGACCTCGCCTCGCCGTCCGGATTGGACCAAAATCAAAGCTCGTCTCCGAGCCTTCCAGCGTGGCGAATGGGAGCAATTGTACCAGGACGCGGTCGACGCAGTCAACATGCCACCTCTGCCCCGCCACCGTCCCTGACGCGACAGGTGTGATCAGCCGGGCTGAGTGTCTAGCGAAACGTGGCAGCCTTCGAAGGGCCGTACTCGCCCTTGAGTCAACCCCTGTCTGCACTCCCAGCCCCGAAATTTTGGAGGAGCTGCGTCAGAAAACACCCTCCAGCAGCGAGCGAAGGGGTGGACTTGGCCAACCACGAGTGAGTCACACACTTTCAATCGCCCACGCGGAATTCGCCAAGATGTTGGGCAGATGCGAAAAATGGAGTTGGAGCGGGGCCCTCTGGGATGACATTTGAGCATTTGCGCGACGCGTCAATCACAAACGCGTCGGTCCAAACCCATCTGCAACGCCTTGGTTAACACCATCCTGGGTGGAAATCTGCCAGGCCCGGTGGCGACCCTCTTAACCGCATCGCGGCTTATTGCTCTGGCCAAGCCGGGAGGAGGCGCTCGGCCAATCGCGATCGGCGAGTGTTTGACCAGGCTGGCAGCCAAGGCTGCCCTGATGGTGATGGGCGAAGCTGCCCGCGATTTCTTCCTCCCCCTTCAGTATGGGGTGGCAGTGCCAGGTGGCGCCGAAAACGTAATCCACGCGGCCAGAGCTTTCCTGGATTCCCACCCTAACAGCCTGGTATTGCAAGCGGACATAAAAAATGCTTTTCAACAGTATTTCGCGACAGGCCATCGCCACTGCGTTACACGCCCCCGAACTCTCGCCACTGCTGCCGCTCGTCAAACTAACCTACGGTAACCCGTCGCAGCTGTTCCTGGATTCCAACTACAACTCCGAACCACTGCACAGCGAACGCGGGGTTCGCCAGGGGGACCCACTTGGGCCGCTACTGTTTGCAGCGGGGATTCATGCTACACTACGCGACACTGCAGATGCTCACGCTGGGGTACTTTGCTTGGCGTATGCGGACGACGTGACTTTCATAGGGGACTTTGAAGACACTGTAGCAGCATTTACGCATTTCACGAGCAAGCTGTCGTTCCTGGGACTTGAGCACAACCCACACAAGTGCGCCGCCTGGAATTCGAGCGCAGTCCAAGCAGCACACCTACCTCAAGGGGTCCCCCTAACCAAGGACGGCATGCAATTACTGGGCAGCTTCATAGGGCCTGATAGCGGCGCGACAACTTTTCTAACAAGGCAGCTTGACGAGATGGCGAAGCCGCTAAGACTCATCGAACAGACAGACCCACAGGTTGCGGCACTTCTCATCACTCGCTGCATTTCGAGACGGGTCGCATACCTCACACGGACCACTCCTCTCAACCTCCTGCCCCGTGACAGATGGAGCCAGTGGGGTATGGACCTGCTCACCACGCTCCTCATTGCTTGTGACATCCGCACGCCGACCTGTAGGACGGAACAGACGCGCATCTGGGAGCAGGCGTCGTTACCCCCATCACTAGGAGGCCTCGGTATCACTAATCCCCTCGTCGAAGGGGTTTACGGCTTCTCGGCGAGTTTTACCCAGGCAGCGTTATTCCTCAACGAACTCACCCTGGAAGAGGGGACCGCGCTCTCGTTGGCAAGGAATCATATGCTCCTCCCGCGTGACGTCAGCACTCCACTACACACATGGCTGAGGGGGTGTGAAGCCGCACTGCCAACAGACGCGCTGGAGGTTTTAGAGAAGGTGCGGCTGGAGCGTTCTGACATTCGGCTCCAGCACGTGCTCGGACTGAAGGTGCACGGGAGCCGGTATGCCGTACAGGTGCAGGCGACGAGGCGAATGGAGTTGAACCCGCTAGCCGGACACACGCAGAGGATGTACTCCATGACTGGATATGGCACCGGCGACTGGATTACGGCCATCCCAGTGGCTCCCACAAGGCGGATTGGGCCGGTGCATTTCGCCAATGCAGTACGCTTCCGCCTCGCGCTGCCGTTTTCCACCCCTAAAAACTGCGACTGCTCAGAGCACACGGCCATCACTGACCCCCGGCTCCCAAACCACCTTCTCCGGTGCGGCACGGGCAAGCACCGCACTAACACCCACAATGAGCTGCGGGACGCATGCGTAAGCATGGCGGAAGATGCGGGCTTTATAGTACACAGGGAGTCAACGGCCTACTGCCCCATCGAGGAACAAACAGCTGATTTCACAATGTCGGACAGAAGCAGTGGAGCGGTCTACATCTGTGACGTCACGGTCACTGACCCAATAAGCACTAGGGATCCGGAGGCTCAGAAAGGCAGAGGGTGGGCGGCACGTGAGCAGGCCGACAAGAAGATCAAGCACTATGCCAACCGCCCGGAGACCGTTGGCTTCTTCCCCCTCGCAGTGGACACTTACGGCTGCCCGTGCGCTGAGGTTCCCGTATTCCTTAAGCTCCTGGCAGACTCGGCGGCTCGGCGGCACTTCAACGCCGACTCCAAATCTTTCTATGCCGCCAAGTTCTTGCATTAGTTCCGGCAGCGTTGGTCCGTGGCCCTTCAACGGGCCAAATCCGTGGGGCTTCTGTTGAAATTGGGTGAGGCTGCAGCAGCAGAGAATCCTCCTGTGGGGGGCATCGGGCATGAACTGCACCTGGGGGACTGTTTTGCGGTGGTGGAACCACTCCTGGAGATTTAGAGTGGGGTAGCAGGGTGGCAGCAGAGGTAGCCTAGGTGATGTTGCATCGTGTTTCATGTTGCTTGCTTTCTACCTTGCATGTGTGTACCATCCGGCTCTATCAATACAAGGACCATTAGAGAGAGAGAGAGAGAGAGAGAGAGAGAGAGAGAGAGAGAGAGAGAGAGAGAGAGAGAGAGAGAGAGAGAGAGAGGAATGGCCTAGTTCCAAGTCCTTAGCCGTTTTTTAGGCCTCTCTAGCCTAGTCTCCTGTCCTTAGCCGTTTTTAGCCTGTTCTTCCTAGTATAAAGCCCCTAGATCTCCGCCCATGGGGCTTATTATTCACTGGTGAGTTCAGTTTACTCTCCAAAACCGACAGCTCGCGCCGGCCGCCTTCGGCGGCCGCCGCTCGCCAGCGCGGCCTACGGCCGCGCGTGAGGTGTGGCAAGGGAGTAAGATCCTGGGAGGTCAACATGGGGCAATACAAAAAGGAGGCATACATCTACGGCAGGTACAACAACACCCCCGGGCATGAGTACACCGCCATGGGGAAGCCCAAACCCAGACCTGCTACAAAGGGGGCTGGCAAGGGGAAGTCTACCGCTACTCAACGAGGATCCAACACAGCCTCCCGTCTAGCCAGCGCAAGACGGACGTGGCTGCCGCAACAAGGTCAAGCGGGTCGCCCCGGGCCGAAGCAGCAAGCCGCGCCAAAGCTCCAGGGCCGGGCCCGAGGGCAGCCCCAGGAGAGCCCGGCACATAGCCAATCAGGGGGAGGTAATGCTGCAGCTCCTCCGCCACCGCCACTGCCGCCGACTGCTCCGCCGGCTGCATCGCCTCGATCTGCACCTCCTGCTGCACCAGTGTCACGTGTAGCTGGTCAAGCACATATGACAGGAGTGTCATGCACGTCCCAACGTGCATCACGCGCTGCTCGACGCGAGTTGGGGGCGCGCCAAGAACCAAGGCAGGGGGAGGAGGCGGGCTCGGAGCGTGCGGGAAGTGTGACGGGGGAACTTGGGGCATTGGGGGACGAGGCGGTAGCGGCTGGAAGGGTAGGGGAAAACGCCGCAGTGGGGACTGTGCTGGGGGCCGCTGTGGTGCCCAGGAGGGCGGCTGGATTGGTGCTTGAGGGAGCTGCTGCTGCTGCTGCGACTGCAGCTGAGACGGTGGCGGACCCTGTGTTTGCCGGCGGTTCTGCCGCTGCCGTTGGCGGCGGCTCAACTTCACACGCTGCCGCCCCACGGGCGGCACAGAAGGAGGCGGAGGAGCCAAGCCCGGGCGTGGATCAGGAGCAGACCGCGGAGGCGGTGTTGTCGGCGTCTCCGGCGCCTGTAACGGCGGCTGTGCTGGCGGCAGTGGTGTCTGCTGCGGCTGGGGAGCAGGGCGCAGCCCCGTCAAATGTTGACGCGACGCCTGTCGCTGCGAGCGCCGGAACGCGTTGTACCTGCCGCGGCCGCAAACAGGCAGGAGCGCGGCCAGGCGGAGGGTGAGTTTCTGGGACCTGCGAACGGAGCTTCTTCCGGCGCTGCACGGGCGGTTTCGAAGAAGAAGCTGCGTGCCCAGCCAGCGCCGAGACGGCCCGGAGCAGGGCTGGGACCTGGCTCCCCGGGACCCCTCCTGGGCTGGCTTCTGCAAGGGCAACCGCCATCTGAGCGAGCGCATCGGTCGTCATCGGTGAGCCAGCGAGAGGTGAGAGAGGAGGCTGAGGCTGGAAGTCGCCCGCCAGGAATCTCTCGGGACGCTTCCGCTCCCAACGTAACACCAGCAACGGCAGTGCACGCTGAGGCTCCAAACACCACGAATGCCGTTGCACACAACACCCGCCACGCGACGCGACGAGCGGCAATAACCTGGGGACCGCCCCGCGGAGGTCGGACACCGTGGCTGCCGGCGGGACGTGGAGCTACGGGCGTGGTGGCAAGAGCGCCAACAAGCGCGGGGAGGACTCAACGGGGGGGGCGGTGCACGGGGAGCGCGCGGAGGGCGAGGGGGAAGGGCCCTGGTGGGGGGATCTGAGATCCCTGTGCGAGTTGGCACCTGGCGGGAACGCCACGACAGACCAGTGGCGGGGGCAGCACCAACGAATGAGGAGGAAGCAGCGGGCTCTGAGGACAACGGTGGCGACCCATAATTTATGTGTGGTGACGAAGCTGAATCTGAGGAGGTGTCCCTGGAGGAGGAAACTGGGGTGGACAGGAATGCACCCAACACACGGGGAAGAGGGTCGAGGGGGGATGGGCAGAACCAACAAGCTGTGGGAGATACAGGTGGAGCAACGGATGCGACGGATGTCTTCTCGCCTACTGACATGGCGAAGGATGAGGCCATCTGGCAAGAAGCTGGGGGTTGGGATATGCAGCAACTGCAACGTAGTGACCAGCCCTTCCTTGTTCGCCGCTTACCTCCACAAATCCTAGACAAATACAGCCTCTGTCTGCTGGTGTTACTTCTGAGGCTGGAGAAGTTCCCCACGTGCCTAGGTGCGTGGAAGATTCTTCTCTTCCTACCGAGGCTTACACTACGACCCTCTCCCGAACCTGTTATTGGGAGCCGCTGGGCTCGAATTGAGGCTCGGCTGCACCAATTTCAGCAGGGGAAATGGGAGGGACTTTTCGAGGAAGCTGGCACTATCCCCGATACCGAAGCCCCGCTACGACACCAACCGGACGACGAAGGTGTTTGTGGACGTGCCGAAGGGCTAATGAAAAAGGGCAATATCTCGAAGGCGGTTGCTGCGTTACGCACTAGCCCACTCGCTGAACCCAGTTCGGCAACCCTCGCTGCACTCCGGGCGAAACACCCACATGCTGAAGACGATCTCCCAGCCTGGGTAACAGGGGTAGCAACTTCTGAGCTCGCCATCCAGATCGACGCACTTCGCGAAATCCTGGCGAAGTGCCCGAATGGGGTGGGTGGGGGGCCCTCTGGAACGTGCTTCGAGCACCTCAGAGATCCTGCTCTCGCAAATGAGGAGATATTAATTATACTCGCCAAGACAGTTAACAATTTCCTTAGCACCTACCAGTCACAGGAGCTGCGCGACCTTGCCCTATCCTCGCACCTGATAGCTTTGGAGAAACCGGGGGGTGGGGTCAGGCCTATCGCGATTGGCGAAACATTGCTCAGAGTAGTAGCGAAAGCAGCTCTACACTCGCTCGGCCCCAAGATCCGTGAGTTCTTTCTCCCGGTCCAATTCGGCGTGGCCATCCCGGGGGGAGCGGAGTGCATCATACACTTGGTTAGAGCGCTACTACAGGAGGCCGTCCCGCGGATCGCGCTGCAGCTGGACGTAGAGAACGCGTTCAACGGCGTCGAACGCAGGGCTTTCTTCGAGGCGCTGCAATGGTCTAACCTCAACCCCCTACTCCCCCTGGTCCGAAACCTCTACGACGGCCCGTCGAGGCTCCTGGTCGACCAGCTTTTTGACACTGAGTACATCCTGAGCTCCCGCGGAGTTCGCCAAGGCGATCCACTCGGCCCGCTCCTGTTCGCGGCGGCGATCCAGCCAGCCCTGCTGAGTGTGGCCACTACTCTGCCGGATGTGGCGATCGTTGCCTACGCCGACGACATTACGATTGTCGGCCCGCGTGAAGCCGCCTGCCTCGCCTTTGACACGATCGCTGCGGCTTTGGGAAAAGCAGGACTGCGATGCAACATTGCCAAATCAACGGCCTGGGGGAGGAACGCGAGCGAGCAGCAGGAGAAGTTGCCGCTTGGGCTGACCTCGAACCCGGGAGGAATCAAGGTGTTGGGCAGCCCAGTTGGGATTAAAGACTTCTGCACGGACCACGTACGGGCGGCGCTGGGGGAGGCGGCATCACCGCTCCTCCTCATTTCACAACTGAACCCGCAGCACGCGCTCCTTATGGTCTCACGCAGCATCTCACGGCGGATCTTGTACATGCTCCGGACGACCCCGGCTTCAACACTAAGTGCGCGAGAATGGAGGGAGTGGAGTGAGGCTCTCCTGGGCTCGGCGCTCACCGCGGCGAAACTACGGATCCCCACCTCCGAGCTTGAGCAGAGCCTGCTGTGGCGTCAGGGGACACTCCCCATCCGCCTGGGCGGCCTCGGGGTGATCGACCCTATCTCTGAGGCACCCGCGGCATACCTGGCTTCAGTCACGGCGGCACACATCCTACTGAGGCAGCTGAACCTGCCAACGGACTGCCTCCTGAGCCGGGCGACACAGCTCCTCTCCCACGAGTGGGCCCCACTGCCACGTGAGACCAACCCCAGAGCCACGATGGAGGGTAACCTCCCTGCTGAAGCCCGAGCAACACTAGAGCAGTACAGGGCAGGGAGTCTGGGCACTGGGAACCTGCAGCTGGGGCTGTCCAAGTCTATCAACCAGCGGCGGGCGTTGGAACTCCTAGCAGACACACTTCAAGACCGGCCGGGGGAGGACAGGGGCCACGCCATCCGCCTCATCAGCCTCAAGGGGGTGGGTGCGGGTGACTGGCTCCATGCCATCCCAACGAGAGGAGACCTTAGCTTATCCCCTGGTCAATTCTCGATGGCCTTGGGCCTGCGGTTGGGCATGGAGCTGCCGGTCGCCGAGGTGTGTCCGTGCAAGCGGGAAAACGCGACGATCGCCGATAAGAGCCTCCCCAACCACCTCCTGCGGTGTGGGGATGGAGGGGACGTTGTAAGGACCCACCACGCCTTGGTTTTTGCGGCTCTCAGGATGGCCAAGGATGCGGGTTACAAGACGTTCCATGAGACCACGGCTTTCTCTCCCCCCGTCCTCCGAAAGCGTGCAGACCTGGCCATCCGAGACCAGGAGTCAGGGGAAACGTGGGTGACGGATGTCACGGTCACGGATCCGGTATTGCAGAGGCGGGACAAGAGAGCCAGGAAGCCGCCTGGGTGGGCAGCGGAGGAAGCTTCCGAGGGAAAGCACAGGCTCTACGAGGGCCGCCCTAGCTACGCTGGGTTTTTTGGGCTGGCGGTAGAGACGTATGGGGCTCTGGCTAAGGACACGCAGCAGTTCATCCGTTTGCTAGCCACCCATGCCGCCAAGACGAAATACAGGAAGGGACGCCTCACGACGACCGCCGCCCGACTCAATGCACACTTCAGGCAACGGTGGTCCGTGGTGCTCCAGCGCAGCAAGGCGATCTCCATCCTCTCCAAGTCCAACCGAGCGGCGGACGCGGCCTTCCCACAGACAGCGGCGGACCCTTGGGCACCCAGGCTGGGGGACCTTTGGCAGACCTTGGAAGACGAGTATGAGGAGCGGCACGCCCCTGCCAGGGCGGCCTGAGAGACTGAGGGGGCCGGGGGGTGAGCACGAGGATCCTGCCACTGCTGACTGGGAGGGTTCGGAGGGACCAGAGACCTTGGAGGGTGTCTCAGGGAAGGGGTGAGGAAGTTGCGGCGTGGAAGGGGTTAAGGGGAGGCACATGGGCTTAGGAGGAGACACAGGACAGGGGGAATGGGGGTTTCTCAGGGATTTGTGTTGCGGAGGGTGGCTCTGACAGCTAGGTGTTTCGGTGTGTTTAGTCTGTATGTGCTGGTTTTGTTTGCTTGTTAGCTCTACCTTCTCGGTTGCTTCCAAGTTTAGACAAGCTAGTATTTACCGCCTGCCATGTTTGTACCGTGGGACCCATATCAATACATGACTGCTTGAGAGAGAGAGAGAGAGAGAGAGAGAGAGAGAGAGAGAGAGAGAGAGAGAGAGGGAGAGAGAGAGAGAGAGAGAGAGAGAGAGGGAGAGAGAGAGAGAAAGAGAGATAGACCGTGAAAGAGAGAGGTATCGACCGTGAGAGAGAGAGAGAGAGAGAGAGAGAGAGAGAGAGAGAGAGAGAGAGAGATAACACCCGTGAGAGAGAGAGAGAGAGAGAGAGAGAGAGAGATATCAATTGTGAGAGAGAGAGATATCGACCGAGAGAGAGAGAGAGATTTCGACAGTGAGAGAGAGAGAGAGAGAGAGAGAGAGAGAGAGAGAGAGAGAGAGAGAGAGAGAGAGAGAGAGAGAGAGATCGACCGTGAAAGAGAGAGATTTCGACCGTGAGAGAGAGAGAGAGAGAGAGAAGCATCTAGTGACTTAGCCTCTCAAGCCTCCCCTAGCCTCCCTAGCCTCCCTATTCCTAGTACAAAGGCCTCAGCAGGCCTTGTGGCCTCTTCATTATTCAGTTTTTGGTTGGGTTTCTCTCCTAACCGAGCGGGAGAGAGAGGAGAGAGAGAGAGAGAGAGAGAGAGAGAGAGAGAGAGAGAGAGAGAGAGAGAGAGAGAGAGAGAAGCATCTAGTGACTTAGCCTCTCAAGCCTCCCCTAGCCTCCCTAGCCTCCCTATTCCTAGTATAAAGGCCTCAGCAGGCCTTGTGGCCTCTTCATTATTCAGTTTTTGGTTGGGTTTCTCTCCTAACCGAGCGGGAGAGAGAGGAGAGAGAGAGAGAGAGAGAGACAGAGAGAGAGAGAGAGAGAGAGAGAGAGAGAGAGAGAGAGAGAGAAGCATCTAGTGACTTAGCCTCTCAAGCCTACCCTAGCCTCCCTAGCCTCCCTATTCCTAGTATAAAGGCCTCAGCAGGCCTTGTGGCCTCTTCATTATTCAGATTTTGGTTGGGTTTCTCTCCTAACCGAGCGGCTCGCGTCGGCCGCCTTCGGCGGCCGACGCTCGACAGCGCGGCCTTCGGCCGCGCGCTTGGGACGACAAGGCAGCAACAAGCAACTATACGCACCAGTGCATACATCCATGGCAAGCCACACAAGTTCCTAGGCAAGACAAAGCAATGGAGCACGAGGAGGTGTCAACTACATGCGATCCGCCTCAAGGGGACCGTGAATCCATGTCAGGGACCTCCACAACTCCCGTACTACCAACGAGCTTGCGCCGATCGCGTCGGCTGCAGACCCTGCGCGCAAACAACACCGCAGACCACGAACGGCAGCGTCAAGCTGGCCTACAGCCCCAACAGCTCCCCGCGCGGGCGCAGCCAACACGGGCACCAGAAGGAGGGAAAGCTGCTCCGCCGCGTCAAGGCAATCCTCCCGTTGGCCCTCAAGGAAGATACCTAGGGGAGCCTGCGTCAGAGACGCGTGCGCCTGCACCTGAATCAGCAGGAGCGCACGCAGGCTCTCAGAGAGCCGCCACACCTGGCCAAGCGTCGCCTCCGGCACGCGCACCCGCGGGGGAGGAGCCTCTAGGGCAGGAAAAGGAAAGTGAGCAGCGACGACAGGTGGAGCAGCATCAGACGGGTGAGCCGTCACCACTCCTCCCGCCGCGGACACAGCCTCCAGGCCCGCCACAGGAGGCACCCGCGGCAGCCAAAGGTGCGCCCCAGGTGCGGAGGTTGACGCAGCAGGAGCAGGAGGAGGAGGAGGAGGAGCCACAGCAGGAAGCGCGGCCACAGGAGGTGCGGGAGGGGGAGCCACAGGCGCCGGCGCGACATGCCGCGAGCTGCCCCGGCTGGCCTGCTCAGCCCTATCCTCGCGCATTGCAGCCGAAACGACCCGTTGCACATCCGCAAGCGTCACCCGTGGCTCATACGCCCCGCCACCACGACCGCGACCACCCCTCTAGCCACCGCGACCCCCACAGTGGGGAGGCCAGTCCGCCTGCGAATGGCGACGCCGAGGAGAATCACAACGGCGTCGCGACGACTCCCGCTCATCTCGCGGCAATGGCGAGTGAGGACGAGAGGGACGGCGATGTGGGGACGGATGGCGCTGAGCCGGCCGGGCAGCAGGGGATGACGCAGGAGCCGACGGCAAAACGGCATCCCCCGCCTGGTACAGGACGGCGCTGGTGGCTGGAGGCAGCTGGTAAGACGGGTCAGTAGCAGCAGCAGAAGGCGCCCCGGCGGGCGCAGCCTGCGGCGGCACGGAGGCCGCCGCAGCAGCCGCATACGAAGCCGCAGCAGCGGGCACAGGAGGTTGCGCTAGAGCAGGCGCCGCGTCAGGCGCAGGAGCAGACGCGGCTGCCGGCACCGGTGCAGTCGCCGCAGCAGGCGCAGGAGCAGACGCCACACCGCGTGCTCCCAGGTACGCCACTTCAGGAGCAGGGGCTGTCACCACAGCAGGCGTGGACGACGACGCCACGGCAGGGGGTGGCGCCACAACAGGCGCAGGGGCCAGGTCACCAGGAGGCACAGGCGACGGCGCAGACGCAGGATCGGGAGGGAGCGACATCCCCGCAGGCGCCGGAGCCGGTGCCGATACTGCAGGAGGGGCAACGACAGCTGACGCCACGGCAAAGGGCCTTGGCGAATACACGAGGTCGTCCCCAAGCGCGACAGGCATCTCGGCGAGGACGAGGCGCGGGGCAGCAGAACACGGGTGGACGAAACGGCGGACCGGAGAACGGGTTCCAACGAGCAGCGCGAAGGGCTTTAACTCGAGAAGCAACTAATGAAGAGGAAGAAGCACGAGACGCTACTGCTGAGTCCTCAGAGGAAGACGCAGTTGAGGAGGAATTGTGCCTGCCTGAGGAGAGAATCGCAACACCAAGCCAAACCGCATCGAGGAATTTGGCCGGCCCCCGAAACCGAACCGCATCTGCAAACATTTCCCCCTCCCGAGCCGCGCCAAATCTTGCACCAACTGGTCGGGCCGCCCCTCCTGGCCAAACCCAACCCACCACCACCCAGCCAACTCTCCCACCACCGCTGGAGGAAAAATCGCCAGAGGCATTGGCCGCTGATAACACGCTTTTCGCTGCCGTGGAAACTTGGGACTTGACGAAACTCTGCGACACTCGCAACGCACCTCTGCCACGCCACCTCCCACAGGACATCCGCCCAATTTTCGCGATAGCGCTGCTAGCCCCTTTGCTCCGACTGGCTGACAACCCAGAATCACTGACAGCATGGACAGTTTTCCTGTTCCTTGCACGCCTGACGCTAAGACAACACACTCCTCGAAAACCGGATTGGCCTGCAGTCAGGGCAAGATTACGACAGTTCTTGGCGGGGGAGTGGAGTGCACTGTACTCTGACTTGCTCGACTCCCTGACCTACCCTCAAGCGCCCAGGCATACCCTTGACGACCTAGGAGTGATTGCAAGGGCAGAGGGCCTTGCGCGACGTGGTAGCCTAAGGAGAGCGGTTCTTGCCCTGGAGGCGACGCCGGTGTGCACTCCGTCACCAGCAATCCTGGAAGCACTGCGCGCCAGGCACCCACCTGCTCCTGAAGCACCCCTCGTTTGGCCGGTACCTGACTCCAACGCCCACTTGACACCCACCCTGCCCGAGTTTCTCAGAGTTCTGTCACGCTGTGACAATGGGATTGGGGCGGGCCCATCAGGTCTGACATTCGAGCACGTGCGGGAGGCGTGTCTAGTCAACCAGTCAGTGGCGACAAACATCCACGCAATGGTCAACACCATTCTGGCAGGGAAACTGCCATCCCCAGTCGCCAGGCTCCTCACAGCGTCTCGCCTACTGGCTCTCTCCAAACCAGACGGAGGGACAAGGCCGATCGCTATTGGTGAAAGCATCACCAGACTCGCCGCCAAAACAGCTCTGACGTTGACAGCAGGGGCAGCAAGAAAATTCTTCATGCCACACCAGTTCGGCGTGGCAGTGCCTGGGGGAGCGGAGGCGGTTATCCACATCACCCGCGCCTACCTATCTGAAAATCCACATGCACTAGTCCTCCAGGCAGACCTAGCCAACGCCTTCAACAGTGTCAACAGAGCCACAATAGCATCCGCGCTAGACAACTCGGCTCTAGCACCACTACTACCATTAGTACAGCTCACCTACGGGGCCCCCTCACTGCTCTATCTGGACGAGGGCTTCAAGCATGAGCCCCTGCTAAGCATGACGGGAGTTCGGCAGGGAGACCCTCTTGGGCCACTGCTGTCTGCAGCTGCAATCAATCCCGCGCTACAAGCTACAGCCCAAGCCTTCCCTACTGTAGCCTGCCTAGCGTACGCAGACAACGTCACCTTCCTAGGGGAGCAATCTACCTGCGTAGCAGCGTTTCAGCACTTCATAGAGAGCCTCATACCAATTGGCCTGTATCATAACCCATCTAAATGCGCGGCCTGGTCACGGCCAGGCATCCCCACCTCTGCCCTACCCCAGGGTATCCCGTTCACTAGAAACGGCGTGAAGCTGCTAGGCAGTTTCATAGGCTCCGATGAGGCCACAGCAGACTTCATTCGTTCAAACCTTAGCTCCATGGCGGCACCTCTTGGCCTGATAGCACGGATGGAACCTCAGCTGGCTGCCCTGCTACTCTCCAGGTGTATCTCAAGACGAGTTTCTTACCTCACCCGGACCACACCCCTCATGCATTTGCCTCTGAATGAGTGGTCCGGTTGGGGCAGGCAGTTGTTTGAGACTCTGTTAACGGCATGTGGCATTAGGCATCCGCGGGGTGATGCTGAGATCTCTCGTACATGGTCCCAAGCTTCGCTGCCAGTATCACTTGGAGGCCTCGGAATCACTGACCCCGCGGTCGAGGGCAGCTACAGCTACCTAGCTAGCTTTACCCAGGCACAGCAGCTGCTCTCAACCCTTAAAGATAGCCAGTTAGGGTCCCTGACGGGGACACGGGTGCAGATGATGGGACCGTACACAGACTCCTGCGCTCTCTACCGCTGGCTAGCTCAGTGCGAGGCAGACCTACCGAGTGATGCCGGGGAGCTACTACTGAGTGACAGGGCTGCTCCCACGGGTGTGAAGCTGCATCAGGGGCTAGCTTTGGCAGTTCAGGGCAGAAGATATGCTAACCAGGTGGAGAGCACACGGGGCATGACCCCAAACCCCAATAGCGGCCACACGCAGCGCCTTCTCTCTTTGTCAGGGTACGGAGCCGGGGACTGGCTCCATGCAGTCCCGCTCATGCCCTCCCTGAGGCTCGACGGTCCCCACTTTGCCACAGCCCTCCAGTTCAGGCTAGGACTACCATTTTCAGCCCCCGGCGCTTGTGACTGCACCAAGCAGGTTCCCATCTCAGACAAACGGCTTCCAAACCATCTGCTACGCTGCGCCACAGGAGGGGGAAGGACAAATACTCACAACGAGCTGAGGGATGAGTGCATTAGGATGGCACAGTACGCCGGGTTCATGGTGCACAAGGAAACGGCGGAGTTCTGCCCGGTCACTGGGAAGACAGCGGACCTAGCCATTCGAGATCGGTCCTCAGGGGCAGTATGGATCGGGGACGTCACCATCACTGACCCCATTAGCACACGCGACCCCAATGCGGTGAAAGGGAGGGGGTGGGCTGCCAGGGAAGCCGCTGACAAAAAAATCTCAGACTACAGCGGCTCCCTGGCAGCCTACGTCTCATTCGTACCCCTCGCAGTCGAGACTTATGGCTGCCCATGCGCAGAGGTCCCCGCTTTCCTCAAGCTCTTGGCTCACACGGTTGCACGCAAGCTCTTCAACGCCGACCCTTCAACCTACCAGGCGGCAAAACTACTCAACCAGTTCCGCCAGAGATGGTCGGTCGCCCTTCAGCGCGCGCAGGCGGTAAGCTACATGGCCAAGTGCAACATGGCAGCAGAGGCCCAGAACCCCCTTGTCGGGGCCCCTGGCGAGGAAATGTCCCTGGGGGACTGTTTTGTGGTGCTCGAACCTACTGCTGAGCTCCCTTAGGAGCTTCCAGTGGGGGGGGGGGGGGGGGGGGGGTGATGGTTGGTGGGTGGGGTTGTAGGTTGTCTTTAGGATCTGGTTTGCTGCTAGGTTGTTCTTTTAGTCTCTGGGGTTGCCTGTTTCTATGCTGCCTCGATCGTTTGTACTCACCCGTTATATCAATACAAGGACCGCTTGAGAGAGAGAGAGAGAGATCGACCGTGAAAGAGAGAGATTTCGACCGTACGAGAGAGAGAGAGAGAGAGAGAGAGAGAGAGAGAGAGAGAGAGAGAGATAACACCCGTGAGAGAGAGAGAGAGAGAGAGAGATAACACCCGTGAGAGAGAGAGAGAGAGATAACACCCGTGAGAGAGAGAGAGATCGACAAAGAGAGAGAGAGAGAGAGATTTCGACCATGAGAGAGAGACAGAGAGATCGATCGTGAGAGAGAGAGAGAGATTTCGACCGTGAGATAGAGAGATTCCGACTGTGAGATAGAGAGCTTTCGACCGTGAGATAGAGATTTAGACCATGAGAGAGAGGATTCGTGCGTGAGGGAGAGATGTAGACCGGGAGAATGAGATGGCGACCGGGAGAAAGAAATCTGGACCATGAGATTGAGATTGCTACCGTGATAATATGAGATATCGACCGTGAGAAAGATATCTCGACCGCGAGAATGAGACCCCGACCATGAGGATGAGATCGCGACTGATTAATCTCAATAACATTCAGAAGGTGTGTGTGAGCGAGATCTCTACCGAGTGATACGCATCTGCACGAGGAGCTTTAGTAGACATCCCAATCATGGAATTCTACTACGAAAAGGAAGTCACAAGCACGGTCCGCTAGATACAGAACTCTTTTGGTGGCGGTGACGGCGGGTGCGGCACTGAGTCAGCTTTGAACAAGAGATGATACGAGCCGCGATAGTTCGGGGACCGCTTGGCAAACAAGCTGAGATGGATATGTAGAGTTGCTTCTAGAGTAACATACGCGGAATAGCAGTGATAGGCGACTCACATCTTTGCTGTTGTTGAACGAGTCAGGCGGCTGAGGGGCCCGCCATTAGCTAAGGAGAAAGGGTAGGAGGGTGGCTTACCTAAGACGTGAAGTATGTCGAGCAAGATTGGGAAGAGAATGTTTGTAGTGGGGAATGTTTTTACTCAGCCGGTAGAGGAATTGGAATTCACGCCTACATCTCATGCTAAAAGAAGGCCCAGAAAATTCCAGGAAAATACAATGGCATTAAAGGCAATTCATGCCCACCTTAATGCTGCAGCACTCCTGTCCATGCACACCATTAGTAATGCTGTCAAGTGCTGCAGTTGAACAGTGATGACTGTGGGAGGTATCATTAGTTGCCCATTGTTGATATTATGGATGGATTCATGTGCCCCTCACATGATGGAAGTGACCACAAGTGGATAGGAATTTGCTTAGCTGGGCATCACCTAACAGTGTTTTTGTTTGGATGCAGCCATCAAGACCCCATATGACATGTGAGGATTGATCATATAAAGCACAAGTTGCATCAAATTCCATGGTCAAGTGGTGTTGTGGTGGATTGTTGGCATGCATTTTATGAGAACTAGAGCCACCAAGTCAGCTGGAGATGGTGCATATGAGATGAGTGGCTCAGGTAGACTCAGATTGTTTGTTATGAGACAAGTCCATCCAGCCTAACCCCTAAGGAACAAAGTGGAACATGCCACACTCTATATAAGAGCCCAGCAGAGACAAGATGCTAGATGCTCTAACACTATGGCCTGGTTAGCTCATGCTACATGTGTTTGCCATGTTTGTGAAAAAACCCTTATTTTCACCGCAGCATTGTCTTTCAAGCTATGTTATTGATTGCAGAAGCAGGCGACAACCTCCTCACGTTATCAGTAGGGGCCAAACGGATCTACAGGCCGTGCGAGAGCTTCTCTCTTAGTCGCCGGAAATTAGGGTACCATATCCCTTTCCACGCGCAACCCACTTGTGGGGTGAGATGAAGTTATTACGCATGGTCTTTTATTATTACGCTTTGTTTCAATTTGGCTGTGTGGCAATACATGCGAACAAACATTCAATTCTAGGTATTTCTCATAACAACCCTTGATTGTCTTACAAACATTATTGGAAATTATAACTGTATGATTGTTCATCGTCGTTGCATAACTGTACATTTTCATGGCATCTTTGCCGAGTCGATGCTCAAAGGACCCTTTCTCTGATGTGTCAAGTGGGTACAATCGCAAGACTATTCGTGCGAGTAAATACGCGAAATAACACATGCCTCATATGGTGAACGTAAAATAGTCCCACACTCAAATGGACTCAGACGACTTCCAAGTTGGTGTGCTGGGGGTGCAGCCTACAGCCGTCTGGCCCGTCGCCAGGTGGGTCCTCGAATATGCCTCCCTTGCTCACCGACTGCGACAAGCACGATGACGCAGACATAAATGAAGTCAAACTCCCTTCTCCTACTGTGCCCCGACCGGTCACTTTGTTGCCATCGCCTTCACCGCCCGTCGTTGACGTTTCATGGAACGGATCCTCGTAGGCCGCCGGCGATGAGGGGATCCTTGGTGCGTCACCTACGGCCCGACCGGAGCGGAAATAACTTCCTCAACGCGAGCTAGACTGCGGGCTAGGCACGAGTGCTCATGTGATCTCGGCGTTCCATTGTCGTTCCATTGAGAGCACACGAGTTGCCAGTTTCTTTGTGAAATTTTGCCAGTGTTTGACTAAGGAAAGCTGACAACAATGGTAGCAACAACCTTGGCAACAATGATTACATCAGAGCTAGCAAGCAAGTCGGTCGACCTCCAGCGCAGCACGGTCGACCTCGATCCAGCGAAGCATAGCTCGCACCGGTCCAGCCCTGAAGAGAAGCGGCTTGCCCACGTTGCAAGTCCACGGTGTGCCAACGTTGAAGCAAGTCTGCTGCACAGCGCTGCACCCGCATGACAACGGTGCACCTGACTCGCAGCTGCGCGCAGCTGGGGGGTGCTCCACGTAGGTCGCCCGCGAGAAGTCCCACCTGGTCGTGATAGCTATGGCTTCACCAGCAACTTCAGGCGACAAGCCGCGTAGAGTGCCGAAAATGCCAGCCGCCGTCGACACATACGCCGAGCTCAAGCTACACGACGAAGGAGTACAGTCGCGCAGAGTACTGGTAGAAGGTCAGCTTGCTGTAGTTCGCGTCCACCTCGATGAGGCTCGACCTTGCCTTCGCTTGCTGCTTGCTCAATTCTGGCCTGACAGTGCAGAGCGACAACAACTAGCGTGAGTTCAATCGTTGACTGCTCTACCTCCACATGACGAATTTCGCAGCCGCCAGACTTCCGTAGAGTAGTTTGACGAATGCTCCGTCGAGCAGCTTTCGCCTGATCGACCGCCCGCACGGCTTGGTCGACCGCCAGCACAGCTTGGTCGACCGCCTGCCAGCGTTGCGTAGAGGAGCCGCGCCATTACTACAGAAAGGCGACCTGCCAACAGAGCAGGTCGACGGCGTGCCAACGTTGCAGCAGAGCTGCTGTCCAGCGTTGCCCCGTAGAAGACAGCAGTCCGCATGCTCGCTGATGCGCCCCGACGAATGGGCCGACTTGCATTGCTGTGCATCCGTCTGCTGTTGTCTGCGACTGTTGAGCAGGTTACCTCGTCAACCAGGACACCACCAGGTGCTCTGCTCGTCGATCAGGTGTCGTGGTTGACCACCAGGTGCTCTGGTCGACCACAGCACCGGTCTAGCAACACCTCGATCAACGTACCCCTTCCGTAGACCAGAAGTGTCAGCTGTTGGGGCCGAGCTCCCATCGTCGACTGCCACGTACTTGTCAGGTCGACAGACTGCTCCGTCGGCTTCCACGTACTTGCCACGTTTCGCATTCATTTGTAGTCCTAAATAAATGAAAGTGTGAGCTTGTTTCTATCAACTGTGTCCATCTAGATTCACTCTGATCTACGGTCACAACCTTTCGTTGCAATACTATGATCTTGCGAACCTTGCTGAGGTGATCATAGGCACGATCCACCTTCTGATCGCAACACCTTGTTGAAAGTCTACTAGTACATGCCATCACAACCCTGCAGCTGTACATCTGTACAAATGCTTTGTGTAAAACAATATAAGCGGACTGAATCCATTCATAGTGGACGTAACATTTATGCCCTGACGACTATGCGTGTCGCGGGTGTGCCATGCACTACTGTTGTGGATTCACCTTGAACAGCAGCCTATCAAGGCCAAAATTATGTTTTCAAACGGACTACACATGGCGATCACGCGATATCGTGACATATTACACCCTGACAAGGTGTCTTGTTTTTAATTTACCCTTGGACACACCAAAACCCTAATTGCACTGGGAGTACTAAACTGCCAACGGTTCTAATTGTGCGCAAGAACCAGCAACAGTATATGATAGCTCAAGTGTCTAACAAAAACCAAGGCTGTATGTTTTTTGCAACTCACTCAAAGATCTCACACTGCAACCTTGTAACGGGGCGCTTTTCCTCATCTAGTTTGCGCTCAATACCCATCTCGACCTGCCAAAAACGTTTGTTACCGCTGAAAAACGTGAACAATCTAATTTAGCCGCATCCAAACGAACTAGAAGGGCGCGCCCTTAGGGAGGTCACGTAACTTCGATCTGACACTAAGATGTGCTGTCAAAGCGCCCCACACGTCGAACGTGAGATAAAGTCTGCAGCTTGGACGGTGTTGCGCAACTGGCGCGACCATCCCATCCCATCCCGTTTGACCATCCCATCCACCCACCCCTCCTCTTTCTCCCATCAACAAACACCTTTCTCCTTGTGGTACTTTCGCCATTCCTTGTTTTCTAATCAAACTCGGAAAATTAGTAGCCTCCTTCTGAGCTTCCCACGTGCCCGGGTTTCTAGGCTATTCATCTGGTACCTTAGGTGAGATTATGGCATATTAGTTTAGTTCTTACCAGATATCCCTACGGCCAATCAACCAATTCTCTGCCAATTCCTGAGTTTCACGATGCAGCCCGTGCCAAGTCCCTTCGTAGCTGCAGTTCTTCCTAGAAGAGCCGCTGAAGTTACCTCAAACCCAGCTGTGGGTACCTTTGGCTCTCCGGAAGCCGTCGCGATGCACAGCAATGGGCGAGCCCAAGACGAGCCCAAGGACGACGTGTTTGCTGAAGGTACGTCTCACTCCTCATAGCCATTCGTATGAACAACTGACCTGCGCACTGTCGGATCAGACGACTTAATCTACAAAATGTACTTATTGCTATTTCTGTTTGTTTTATAACCCTTTGCCTCAGGCTCGAGATTCGTGTCGCTGAACAATGTGTCGATCACGGGTGGTACTAAGCGCAAGACACGTGCAAGGAAACCTAAAGAAGTGCGGAAGGGGAAGCGTTCTACTTTCGTCCGCACGGGCAAGAAAGGCTGCACTGATGCACTTGGTGATGGCGGTTGTGGAGCAGACACATACACTCAAGGAAATGGTCAACATGCACATAACGCCTCCTTTCCAGCTGCAGCCGCCACTATCTCTCCCTCCTCCGCCTATGTCAACGCAGCGGCGGTGACTCATCAGCTCGCCGCCTCTCACTCAATCCCTGGCCTGCCCTCCGCCTCTGCCTCCCTTTCAGCTGCAGCCGCCACTATCACTCCCTCCTCCGCCTATGTCAACGCAGCGACGACTCATTAGCTCGCCGCCTCTCACACAATCCCTGGCCTGCCCTCCGCCTCTGCCTCGCCTTCAGCTGCAGCCGCCACTATCACTCCCTCCTCCGCCTATGTCAACGCAGCGGCGGCGACTCATCAGCTCGCCACCACTCAGTCAGTCCCTGGCCTGCCTTCCGCCTCTGCCTCCCTTTCAGCTGCAGCCGCCACTATCTCTCCCTCCTCCGCCTATGTCATCGCAGCGGCGACTCATCAGCTCGCCGCCTCTAACTCAATCCCTGGCCTGACCTCCGCCTCTGCCTCCCCTTCAGCTGCAGCCGCCAGTATCACTCCCTCCTCCGCCTATGTCAATACAGCGGCGACTCATCAGCTCGCCGCCTCTCACTCAATCCCTGGCCTGCCCTCCGCCTCTGCCTCCCTTTCAGCTGCAGCCGCCACTATCTCTCCCTCCTCCGCCTATGTCATCGTGGCGACTCATCAGCTCGCCGCCTCTCACACAATCCCTGGCCTGCCCACCGCCTCTGCCTCCCCTTCAGCTGCAAGCGCCACTAACTCTCCCTCCTCCGCCTATGTCAACGCAGCGGCGGCGACTCATCAGCTTGCTACCCGGATCTCTCCCTCCGTTGCCTATGTGCACGTCTCGGTTCCTGGCCAGTCCAGGCCCGCCGTTGCACCTGGATCGACCTCCCTGCCACCTGCTCCCAGTGCACTCTCACCCTCGCCCTCCTATATCAATCCTGGATTGCACCCAACCAACTCAGGTCAGCCTGGCTCCGGCCTCATCCCACCAGCCTCTGCACCCCCTGCTGCCGCAGTGGCGCCCCCTACTACACAATTGCAGCCGTCTGGACTCCCATGGGCACTCCGTGTGCGCAAATAGAAGTCCGCTCTCCCAGACCCTAGACCATCACATGTGGAGGCCGGGTCGGATGAAGACTCCGACGATGATGACTCCTTGGAGAATCATTATGAGCATGATGGTGAACAGCGGCCTGCTCCAACCAGGGTTTCGCGAGCCGCTTTTGAGGCCGCGCAAGCGCAAATCCGACAACAGGCGCGACGCATAGCTGAGTTGGAGAATCAGCAACCTCAGCAAAAAGGCCCTCATGCTGGCAGTCACGCCATGGTTCAGCGCCAGGCCAATATGCCCAGCCCTTCCCAAAAGTTGCTGGTTGCACCCCAGCTTGCTCCTTCAACCACTCGACCTTGCACCCAGCCGAATGCAACACCGACCCTGATTTTCTCACCGGTGGTGTGGCCACGAACGCAGGCCGCTTTTAGCCGTGCTGTGGCAAAGGCCCACATCAGACGACAGGCCATCGACTGCTCTGCAATGTCGCTACGGCAACACGGGTGGTACAATAACGTCATCACGGCGTTAGATGCTTTCCCGGATGTGAACGGGGACCTTAAGGTGAACAGCAACCCTTCGATTCAACCTTCGCCGTGCTTACAAATGACATCTGCATTGGGTGCCTACATCCCCCACCCCGCAAACTCCTCATGCCACAAACATTAACGCCCTCCCTTCCCTCCCCTGTTCTCTCTCCCACTCTGCCGTGTTGTGCACAATTTTTGTTGCTCTCCTGCAGGAACACGTGGATGAGGCTCTTGATATCATGTTTTTTGACACCCCAGTCACTGATTTCACAATGTGGCCTAGTACCGAAAGCCTAGAGGCGGCCCTGCGCAAGGCCCTAGGCCTCAATGAGCCGAAGGAGCATTTTATCGTGCGTATTGTTCTGAAAGCTGACAAGTACAGGAATGGCTACATTCGTGATATGATTCAAGCGTATCGCAACGACGCATTGACGGATGGGGCGCAATTGGGTGTACGGCGACTTCGACTTGTACGTGCGACGGCCAAGGCTCGGTCGGAAGAAAGTAGGCACCCTCACGACAGTGCTGTTCCTGGACCAGTACGCTGAAAGTGACTATGCTTTAACACTCCTATCACACCCCCGCCCCTACCCCACCCCCGTTCCTCCCTCTCCTTCCAAATGAGAATGAAACCTTTTCAACCCTTCCACACTCTATTCTAGACAATGTGTTGTTGTAGTGTTTGGTTGAAGGCTTTCCTTCTTTCATTCAGTGTTGCACCAACATCACCCTCCTCCTTCCCCCACCCCTACACGTCATCTTCTTCCCCCCACCCACTCCCCATCCACCTTTCTCCTGTGTTCCGTCTTTCCTGCTAGTACCCTCCCTGACATCGCTTCCCCACAGCAGCAATCACTGTCTGTATGATCCCAGCCCAGCAGTCCCCAGTGTACCCTCTTTCCCTCCCTGTTTTCCCCTCCCCACCCCAGCAGCAAGCAAGGCCAGCCAAGGCAGAGCCCAACAGTCCCCAGTGTACCCTCTTTCCCTCCCTGTTTTCCCCTCCCCACCCCAGCAGCAAGCAAGGCCAGCCAAGGCAGAGCCCAACAGTCCCCAGTGTACCCTCTTTCCCTCCCTGTTTTCCCCTCCCCACCCCAGCAGCAAGCAAGGCCAGCCAAGGCAGAGCCCAACAGTCCCCAGTGTACCTTCTTTCCCTCCCTGTTTTCCCCTCCCCACCCCAGCAGCAAGCAAGGCCAGCCAAGGCAGAGCCCAACAGTCCCCAGTGTACCCTCTTTCCCTCCCTGTTTTCCCCTCCCCACCCCAGCAGCAAGCAAGGCCAGCCAAGGCAGAACCCAACAGTCCCCAGTGTACCCTCTTTCCCTCCCTGTTTTCCCCTCCCCACCCCAGCAGCAAGCAAGGCCAGCCAAGGCAGAGCCCAACAGTCCCCAGTGTACCCTCTTTCCCTCCCTGTTTTCCCCTCCCCACCCCAGCAGCAAGCAAGGCCAGCCAAGGCAGAGCCCAACAGTCCCCAGTGTACCCTCTTTCCCTCCCTGTTTTCCCCTCCCCACCCCAGCAGCAAGCAAGGCCAGCCAAGGCAGAGCCCAACAGTCCCCAGTGTACCCTCTTTCCCTCCCTGTTTTCCCCTCCCCACCCCAGCAGCAAGCAAGGCCAGCCAAGGCAGAGCCCAACAGTCCCCAGTGTACCCTCTTTCCCTCCCTGTTTTCCCCTCCCCACCCCAGCAGCACGCAAGGCCAGCCAAGGCAGAGCCCAACAGTCTCCAGTGTACCCTCTTTCCCTCCCTGTTTTCCCCTCCCCAACCCAGCAGCAAGCAAGGCCAGCCAAGGCAGAGCCCAACAGTCCCCAGTGTACCCTCTTTCCCTCCCTGTTTTTCCCTCCCCACCCCAGCAGCAAGCAAGGCCAGCCAAGGCAGAGCCCAACAGTCCCCAGTGTACCCTCTCTCCCTCCCTGTTTTCCCCTCCCCACCCCAGCAGCAAGCAAGGCCAGCCAAGGCAGAGCCCAACAGTCCCCAGTGTACCCTCTTTCCCTCCCTGTTTTCCCCTCCCCACCCCAGCAGCAAGCAAGGCCAGCCAAGGCAGAGCCCAACAGTCCCCAGTGTACCCTCTTTCCCTCCCTGTTCTCCCTTCCCCACCCCAGCAGCAAGCAAGGCCAGCCAAGGCAGAGCCCAACAGTCCCCAGTGTACCCTCTTTCCCTCCCTGTTTTCCCCTCCCCACCCCAGCAGCAAGCAAGGCCAGCCAAGGCAGAGCCCAACAGTCCCCAGTGTACCCTCTTTCCCTCCCTGTTTTCCCCTCCCCACCCCAGCAGCAAGCAAGGCCAGCCAAGGCAGAGCCCAACAGTCCCCAGTGTACCCTCTCTCCCTCCCTGTTTTCCCCTCCCCACCCCAGCAGCAAGCAAGGCCAGCCAAGGCAGAGCCCAACAGTCCCCAGTGTACCCTCTCTCCCTCCCTGTTTTCCCCTCCCCACCCCAGCAGCAAGCAAGGCCAGCCAAGGCAGAGCCCAACAGTCCCCAGTGTACCCTCTTTCCCTCCCTGTTTTCCCCTCCCCACCCCAGCAGCAAGCAAGGCCAGCCAAGGCAGAGCCCAACAGTCCCCAGTGTACCCTCTTTCCCTCCCTGTTCTCCCTTCCCCACCCCAGCAGCAAGCAAGGCCAGCCAAGGCAGAGCCCAACAGTCCCCAGTGTACCCTCTTTCCCTCCCTGTTTTCCCCTCCCCACCCCAGCAGCAAGCAAGGCCAGCCAAGGCAGAGCCCAACAGTCCCCAGTGTACCCTCTTTCCCTCCCTGTTTTCCCCTCCCCACCCCAGCAGCAAGCAAGGCCAGCCAAGGCAGAGCCCAACAGTCCCCAGTGTACCCTCTCTCCCTCCCTGTTTTCCCCTCCCCACCCCAGCAGCAAGCAAGGCCAGCCAAGGCAGAGCCCAACAGTCCCCAGTGTACCCTCTCTCCCTCCCTGTTTTCCCCTCCCCACCCCAGCAGCAAGCAAGGCCAGCCAAGGCAGAGCCCAACAGTCCCCAGTGTACCCTCTTTCCCTCCCTGTTTTCCCCTCCCCACCCCAGCAGCAAGCAAGGCCAGCCAAGGCAGAGCCCAACAGTCCCCAGTGTACCCTCTTTCCCTCCCTGTTATCCCCTCCCCACCCCAGCAGCAAGCAAAGCCAGCCAAGGCAGAGCCCAACAGTCCCCAGTGTACCCTCTTTCCCTCCCTTTTTTCCCCTCCCCACCCCAGCGGCAAGCAAGGCCAGCCAAGGCAGAGCCCAACAGTCCCCAGTGTACCCTCTTTCCCTCCCTGTTTTCCCCTCCCCACCCCAGCACCAAGCAAGGCCAGCCAAGGCAGAGCCCAACAGTCCCCAGTGTACCCTCTTTCCCTCCCTGTTTTCCCCTCCCCACCCCAGCAGCAAGCAAGGCCAGCCAAGGCAGAGTCCAGCAGTCCCCAGTGTACCCTCTTTCCCTCCCTGTTTTCCCCTCCCCACCCCAGCAGCAAGCAAGGCCAACCAAGGCAGAGCCCAACAGTCCCCAGTGTACCCTCTTTCCCTCCCTGTTTTCCCCTCCCCACCCCAGCAGCAAGCAAGGCCAGCCAAGGCAGAGCCCAACAGTCCCCAGTGTACCCTCTTTCCCTCCCTGTTATCCCCTCCCCACCCCAGCAGCAAGCAAAGCCAGCCAAGGCAGAGCCCAACAGTCCCCAGTGTACCCTCTTTCCCTCCCTGTTTTCCCCTCCCTACCCCAGCGGCAAGCAAGGCCAGCCAAGGCAGAGCCCAAAAGTCCCCAGTGTACCCTCTTTCCCTCCCTGTTTTCCCCTCCCCACCCCAGCACCAAGCAAGGCCAGCCAAGGCAGAGCCCAACAGTCCCCAGTGTACCCTCTTTCCCTCCCTGTTTTCCCCTCCCCACCCCAGCAGCAAGCAAGGCCAGCCAAGGCAGAGTCCAGCAGTCCCCAGTGTACCCTCTTTCCCTCCCTGTTTTCCCCTCCCCACCCCAGCAGCAAGCAAGGCCAACCAAGGCAGAGCCCAACAGTCCCCAGTGTACCCTCTTTCCCTCCCTGTTTTCCCCTCCCCACCCCAGCAGCAAGCAAGGCCAGCCAAGGCAGAGCCCAACAGTCCACAGTGTACCCTCTTTCCTTCCCTGTTTTCCCCTCCCCACCCCAGCAGCAAGCAAGGCCAGCCAATGTTAACAGGAATGGAGTGTTGGCCCCGCCCTTGCTTGGGCAACGCCGGCGACTTGGTCGGATGTACGGGAGTAGCAGCCGACCGTTCACAGTGGGATAGCTGCTCGATAGGTTACGTCGAGCTGCAGCGGACCACTGTGGTGTTGCTGTCGACCAAGGAACCCGACAGCTGCAACTGACTGGTTTGTGCGACGGGTGGGCCGTCCGGGAGGTCAATGAAGCAGTCTGTCGACCTACAGCTCAACGGGGAGGTCTATGGAGCATCCCGTTGAACTGCAACTCGAACGGGAGGACTGGGGAGCATCTCGTCGACCTACAGTTCGACCGGGAGGTCGACAGAGCAGTTTTGGTCGACGCAAGGGGCCCGTCAACCAGGGGGAAGCTCAACGGGAGTTGTGGTCGACCAGGAGGGACCCAGTGGTCGACCGGAGGGACCTGGGGGTCGACCAGAGGGACCCAGTGGTCGACCGGAGGCACCTGGGGGTCGACCAGAGCACCAGGGGTCGACCCGGTCGACCGGGTAACCTGCTCGACGAGTTCTGCAAAGGCTCGCGAACGTCGTCAAGATCGCGATGGCGCAGGCGACTTTGGACTGGTATCCCAAATTCAATGTGGCTCGTCAGGCGCAGACAACAGCCGACGGATGCCCAACGAGGCAAGTCGGGCCAATCGTCTGCGCACACCTGCGAGCGCGCGCACTGCTGTGTTCTACGGGGCACGCCGTCGACCTGCTTTGTTGGCAGGTCGCCCTTCTGCAGTGCTGGTGCGGCTCCTCTATGCAATGCTGGCAGGCGATCGACCGAGCTGCGCTGGCGGTCGACCAGGCTAGCTGCAGGGTTGCTAGGTGCCTGATGTAGTCTTTGTTGTGATTGCTTCTTGTATTATTCTGGATTCTTAACTTTGCTAGTGGAAACTCTTGCCAATTTCTCTCGTGAATGTGCAAGCACTAAGGAACCAAGCAAAGCTACGATCACCTTTAGTAGTTCGTGCCAACCCTGTAGTCCAGCTCACAACCGTTGTAGAGTGTATCTCCGCATGGTGCGGTGAGTGTCGATCGAACACGCGACCTTCAGATAGGAGCCGACTTCTGCACCTACTAAGTCGTTCGTAGGCCGGCAGCAGCGATAGTCGCCATGGTCGACCCCGTGGTTGATGCGGGTGTAACAGACACCTTGGAGGCACGCTTGGCTAACGCGAAGAGACGCCATGCGGATGGCGAGTACGGGACGATCCCCTTGGTGATCGCCGAGTTGGGCATCCGGTCGCAGTGGGCGACGGAACACCCTTCCCGTCCTACTTCTCCTCGACCGGTGCGCAACGAAGGTGGTGTCGACGACGAGGTCGACGGTGGTGCACGAGTCAGCGGCAGCGAAGGCACGAGGCAGAGAGGAGTGATCAATGTCGACGGTAGTGTCGACGGAATCCAGGCGCGAGTGCAGCGGTTGACGGCGGCTGCAGGCAGCTCGCACGCCGACGTCGATGTTCGACGTCGCTCTCCTCTACGAAGTGGTGGCGGGCTCTCGGCGACGACACATGTGACGGCGAGCGGGATTGCACCGGCGTATGGCTACTTCAAGTTTTCGCCGGATCGAATCACCGTCGCTCCGCTGCAAGGTCGACGGGACGTCATCACCTGGAGGGAGTCGATCGAACCTCAGCTGGAGGTTGCCGGGCTGAAGGGCTTTACCGACGGCACCGTGCCAATTCCGCCCGAGGAGGATGTCGGGCAGCGCGAGGAGTTTTGTTCTGCTCACCTGCTCACCTTCATGGTCATCTCGAGGTGCTGCTCGCCAGTGGTGCAGCTAGCGCTCAGGAGCTGTCGAGAGCGACTGGATGCTGGTCACCAGGCATGGCGCTTCATCATATCGACGTACCAGGTTAGGGACGACCTGTACATCGGACAGCTAGAGGAGAAGATGACTCACATTCGGATGGGCGAGCAAGAGTCAGCGACGGATTACTGCAACCGTGCTCGACGGATCCTGGCGAAGATGCGAATGGCGGGCGCCGAATACTCGACGGCGTCCTACATCACCCACATCGTCAAGGGCTTGCCGCGCAGCTACAATCTCATGAAGAGGAAAATGATGGTGCCCGGCACGCGTGAGTCCCTCGACGAGGACTCCATCACCAGCTACATTCTCCAGGATGAGGCGATGCAGGAGGCAGAGCAGCCCACGGAGTTCCTTCCGCAGGCGAGTTACGCTGCACCGACGAAGCCGAATTATCAGCAGGAGCAGCGCGAGAAGCCAGGCGGAGGTGGTAGCGGAGGTGGGCGGTCGACGAAGGACGTCAACGAGAAGAGGTCGACGCGGGACAAGGGTCAACAAGGTGGTGGTCGACGGCGGGAGTGCTGGATCTGCGGCGACCCTGACCATCTCTCCTTTGAGTGCTCCGACCGCGATGACAGTGACGAGGACGACAACAAGGGAGGCCGCGGACGATCGGCCAGTCGTCGCCCCCGTCGAGTAGAGAAGCCGCGCAAGGAGAAGCAAGCGTCGAAGAAGACGTCGTCGACGAAAGACGTCGACAGCTCCAGCGGCAAGAGCCAAGGCGACGCGGAGGCGTCGTGCTCGATGGTCGGCGTAGTGGAGCCGACGGTCTTGCTGGCGCCGGAGGCTGGCGAGGACTTCCAGGCAGTGGCGGCAGCCATGCAGGCCAAGCCGATGGCGGTGCTGCTCGACAGCGGGTGCTCCCACCACGTGATGGGGACGAAGTCGGTATTCTTCGACATGGGGCCGAGCGACGGGGTGAAGCACGTGCGTGGGTTCAACGGGGCATTGCAGCCTGTCAAGGGTCGCGGAACCGTCGCTATGCAAGGGGAGGCCGGGAAGCGGGTCCTCATCCCCGACGTACTTTACGTTCCGTGCGTACAGGCAAACGTGTTGTCTGCTGGCCAGCTGAAGGAGAGCGGAGTGCTGCTGCAGGGCGATGGCGATGAGATGCTGCTCATCTCTGCGACTGGGGAGGTGCTTGGTCGAGCTCGCTACACCAGACGGATACTCTGCACTGACCTTCGCCCCTGCTCGACGCAGTTGCCGTCGACCGAGGTGGTGGCTCTACGGACGATCATCTCCGCGACGAAGACGACCCCCGACAGGATGCATGCACGGCTCGCACATGTCAGCCTCGACACGATCAAGAGCTCGGCGAAGCATGATGTTGCTACTGGGCTTGACATCACGTTGTTGACCGGAGCAGACCCGCCGTGTGTCTCGTGCATCGGAGAAAAACTGGCACGCCACACCTTCCCCACCAAGGGCTCGGATGCAGCGGAGGCGCTGGCTGCCGTGCACATTGACTTGTGCGGGCCATTTCGAGTGGCTGCCAAGGATGGCAGCTTGTACTACCTACTGCTGAAGGATCGCCATACTCGATTCGTGTGGGCAATGCCGGTTGCTAAGAAGAGCGATGTGCTGCGGGAGTTCGAGAAGTGGCTGGTGCTTGTGGAACGACAGACGAAGAAGTCGGTTCTGTCGCTTCGCTCCTATCAAGGGGGGGAATTCCTCGGGAAGGCGTTCACCGATTTCGTCGACGGGAAGGGCATCGTCCACGACCTGACGTGCCCCTACACTCCGCAGCAGAATGGCATGGCTGAGCGGGAGATGCGCATGGTCGTCGAGTCCGTGCGGACGATGCTACTGCACATGGGCGTGCAGCATCACTGGTGGCACCTTGCTCTATGACAAGCGGTCTGGGTGCGCAACTGCTTTGAGCGGTCGACGACGCCGCCGGGAACGACTCCGTACCAGCTGCTGACCGGGCAGAGGCCCGACCTTACGCTAGCACGGGTGTGGGGCTGCATGGTGCAGTTCATGGTTCCCGAGCAGCAACGAGGCGGGAAGCTGGCGCCGAAGGCTCGTTGGGGGCTTCACCTGGGTGTGTCGCCGAAGAGCAAGGGCTGGGAGGTGCTCGACCTGACCAACAACAAGGTGGTCACGTCGGTCGAGGTGATCTTCTACGAGACGCTGTCGCTGGAGGTGTGGAAGGCGAAGTATGGGCCGGCGTTGGAGCGGACGCAGGCGCACCCGCCGACGGACACCTCGACGGCGACGGTTCCCTTGCTCGCCGAAGTCGGCGAGCCTGCTGATGAAGATGTTGTGGAGGTTCTTCCACCTCCCCCTGTTCTTGCTCCTCCCTCTCCCGTCGCCGATCTGTCTGCGCCGACACATGTGTCGGCCACCAACGATGAGGGGAGACTGGAGGCGTCGCCTGTGGCGCAGGCCAGTGGCATCGCCGGCGGACGACAAGGCGCCAAGCTTGTCGACTACGATGGGAAGCCGTCGATGACAGGGGAGCACCTGACAGGGGAGCCGATCAAACAGGAGGCATCGGCAGGGGTACACTCGACAGGGGAGCGGCAGCCGGAGCGGTCAACAGGAGAGTTGTCAAAGGCAGCAGCAGAGGAACAGCCGGTTGAAGGGTCGAAGCAGCTGGTCAACGACGTTCTCGTTGACAAGAAAGGGGAGCTGTCGGCGGGTGAGTCCACCGACAGTGATGTAATGGAAGTGCCGATCACGAAGCCCGAGCTACGACGTACGGGTCGAGCTCGACGGCCGCCGGAGTGGTTGTGCTTGCATGCCTGCCTACCGCCAGCTGCCTTCACCACGGTGTACAACGAGGTCGACGACGACCTGCTGTACGACGATGCCGAGGAGGATGAAGACCTGCTGGAGCTCGACCCGGAACATGCATGCCGACCCGGAACACCACTGGGACATCGCCACGATGACGGTGAAGGAGGCGCTGTCGAGCTGGAAGGGCAAGGCGGTGAAGGCCGCCATGGAAGAAGAAATCCGTAGCCTCATCACTATGGGGACTTGGGAGCTGGTCGAACGCCCACGCGGGGTGAACATCATGAAGAACCGATGGGTGCTGACGACCAAGTACCGCATCGACGACACTGTCGAGCGCGAGAAGGCGAGGCTAGTCGTGAAGGGCTTCACATAGGTGTACGGCGCTGACTACGACAAGACGTACTCCTCGGTGAGCAGCTACGTCACGCT